CTTTCCTTTATTTTTGTTGGAAAACACCGCCTTATCGCAGTATTAATAATCAGATTCGAGGACGAGGGTGACATTATATAGTTTTAAGTTTTCTCATCTATTACACCCCGGAAACCTTCATTGTCCTTTCTTTTTTCTTTTTTTCCACCACAGAAGTTAGTACGCTTATTTTCCGTTGAAGGAGGTAAAGCCCTCTCGCAATAGACTACGAGTAGTCCCCATGATAAAATTCCTGTCAGTCCTATCATTCGATAACTTGTTTTCGCCACTACGACGTCCGAAGTAAAATGAAGATGCCTATTAATTTTTCCCGCCAAAATAACGTTGGTTCGCGCGCGCACTACTAAGTATTTAGAAAATCTTGTACTCGCTGTCGTTCTCGTTTTAGGAGCTGTTTACATGGAGGGAGGAAGATCCTAGTACCAGGAAGATCATAGAGGGCGGATCATCCTAGCGCCATATGTTTTCTCTATTCAGTTTACATGCAAAGGGTCGTTGTTGTTGTAAGCGTTGTCCCTAGCGCTAGGATCTTCCTAGTACTAGGATCTTCTTAGCGGAGATGTAGGAAGATCCAAGTACTAGGGACAAACGCTACAAAAATGTCGGCGGGTCGTTCAGTGGCTAATTACGGCAATAAAGGCCGACCATTTCGTTTGGAGTAATCCACGAGCAGATTATTGTGTTAATTCAGCTGAAAGGTAGTGATTTACGCCAGTAAAGAGAGCAGAAGGACCCAAATTGCATTTTTTACTTTGTCATCCACCATTTTTAATTCTTTGTCTAACCTTCTCTACTTGGACAACTCACGGGCCGAAATTTCTGCATGTAAACCCAACGTTAAGTTATTCCACCTTTTAGGATCTTTCTGGTATTAGGATCTTCCTCCGTCCATGTAAACAGCCTCAATCTAAAGCTCTCTGTTATTATAATAGAGACCTTTAGATTCCAGGACTCGGAGGACGGGTACGAGTACGAGATTTCGCTTATTCTTAAAATATAGACTCCCCGGAAAGCTTCATTTTACTTTTACCTACAGTTAGCACTGTTACCCTAAGAGCAGGAGATTATACCCTCTCCCGATCGCAAAATGATAAAACTTCTAACATTGATAACTTTTTTCCGCCACTTCGACATTCTTGCTAAAACTCGTAGTAGAATGACGGCGGCTACCTCGTTTTCCTAGATCTGTACAAACCTGGTTGCCGTTACATAAGTTGTCGTCGAATCATTTCTTTCTCTTTCTGTTGTGCCTTCTTTTGTCCTTCACGGTACTCGCTTGCCTAAAAGGTCATTACTATCTTTCCGCCCCAAATACCCTAATTATAAACTCTCCAGGCCCAAGATAAGATAATAGTGCTGTCTTGCAGTGAAAAATTATGTAAAAAACGCACGAGGGCTAGGGAGGGTTCCCACTTACCTTTTTTTTTTATTTACCCGCCACTGTCCCCTTCCCTAGATCGCGCGTGTTATAATCACTTAGCTTGAGCTCTTTGCGCGGCGCCCCTTGAACCTGAGCCAAGAGCCATGATCATCCTATTATGGCTCTTGACGAAGGCTAATGGGTCAATCTTAACATACTGACTCGGACATATTCCATACCATCATGATTATTTTTGTATCTTTGTTTCATTTAAAAACCATCAACTGCTTAAATTCGATCGAAGACAAGGAAAAACTAACACACTAGCTAAAAACGCCATAAATAAGGAGGATAGAGAAGTAATTTCCATAAAATTCAGATCACGACGAAAGGTAAGTTTTTAGATCGATTCCCGCCAGGAAGTGTAACGTATTCACATGAGAAATACACGTTTCATGACAACAAACTCATGAAATGAGAAGGTTTCTTTTAATCACTATTTTAGACGTTGAAGTTGCAATAGAATTAAAACAACTAATAAATGAATCTTTATGATATCTAACATTGAATCCTGATAAAATATCCCTTAGTCAATTTATCATGCAGCGACCACTAAAGGTAACGTAAGGTTAACGCCGCACGAGCTAAAGGTCCAAACGGCCGGAGCTTATGCCGGTTTCCTCAGCATGAAGCATGTTTAGAAGTATTGCTTCTCCCCTCTGGACGGGATGCTACTCCATCTCAGGGTTACCCCCCAGCTGTATGTCGCCGGTACCCATTTATACACCTGGGTGAAGAGAGACAAAGTAGATAGTGAAGTTCCTTGTCTAAGGAAACAACGCGACGGGCGAGGCTTGAACCCCGGAGTTCGAGATGTTAACCGCTCAGCCACGCACGCCTCCACTGAAGAGCATCAAGCAAATTTTAAACATAAAGGAGTAGGCCTTTCCCGATTACGCTCGTAAAATCCTAAAAAAGTGCTGCCAAAAATGGCTAAAAAGTGCTCAAAAAGTGCTAAAAGTTGTGAACAGTTACCTCTAAGCTTTTCGTAAATATGTCAATTTTTACTGAAGTAATTAACAATCTATTTTGTGTAGTGTTGTTCGACAGGTTGTTACGAAAGGTTGATAGAATATAGAACAATAATATTTTTAAAAAACTAAAGCCGGTTACGAATTGTAAATAAATTCAGCAGTGCATCAGATAATTTAGAAATTTGAGATGACACACGCATGATACATCAGCCAATCAGAAACTTATTTTCTCACACTCAGTGAGGATAAGTCCACGTGCCTTTCCATGACAATGGTCTTTTATTCTTGACAACATCATTAGTTATTCAAATTTATGACCTGGAACACGATTCTCGTTGCGAGCGACACACAGTTTTTGCTTTAAAATGTTTTAGAAGACAAATATTGCTCAAATGTTGCCCAAAGTGCGAAAAAGTGCTTAAGGGTGCTCAAAATGCAAAATAGTGCTCCAAACTCAAAAAAGTGCTCAAAAGGTGCTCAGCGCAATCGGGAAAGGCCTATAAAGGAGAACGGAATAAGGCTAAGGGAAATGAAGTCTAAAATTTCTGATGCTTGCATTTTCATTGCTTAACGTTACATATCCGGATTGTTCCTTTTTATTATGAATAAGTTACTATTATTATTGTTATCTTCACTAGTGTAGAGCTGTTAGTGTATTTTAATGTGTTCAAAACGTATGTTCAGGGAATTTCTGTCAAATAAATAGTAATAATACAACGTCAAGGAGTAGAGTGACCAAGCATCTATTAATGTGGCTCTTAGCTTCTTTAGCCCCAGCCACGAGGAAATGTTTGTGCCGGCTGAGGAACAGTGATCACGCTCTTATGCGATCCAGAGCGCGGGAAAGTTTTTCATCTATGAATACTATCAATTTATCACCAGTTGTAGTTCTGTCCGTTTCTCTGTAAACTGTTTGAAGCAGCCCTACGACTGTTGAAAATACGTGCTTAATGCTAATTTTACTTAACAGGTGTGTGAAATATTTCTTTGGCAATACGATCATAGAGTGCACAATTTGGCAGTTAAACTCGAGCGCAGCTGCCTTCAAGAAATTAAGCTCAGGCTTAGCAGGTAAATATGAGTTAAAAATAATGGCATATTCATCAAGTATGCATAAAACATGAAGTTTTTACAACATTTGCTTTTCGATCGAACAAAAGATGGGAAATTATGAAACCAAGAGTTTAGACTAAGCTAATGGCTTCTTCTTCAACAAAAATACAAGTCTGATACAAGGCTTGTTACTTCTTTTATCGCCTTTGATTTTTACGAACTTCTGTACTTGTTGGCTACGATTCTATCGCTCGATAACGTTGCGGCACTTCACAAGAAACCCGACTTCCCCGCTTAACTCATATCAATACCTGAGAAGTCTTTTGCGATTGGCTATTGGAGCGGCTCATTAGCATTATATCGAACCTTCGAAATATTTACTTGGAGAAACGATTTCCTATTTTAAATATCACCTTAAAGGGGGTTAAGTTTGGGTTTTCCAGTCTAACTAAGAATTAACAGGTCCTTCTTCAAGAAAAATACAAGGCTTGTTACTTCTTTTACTCCCTTTGATTTTTACGAACTTCTGCCGGTACTACAATTATATGTGTTACAAGAAACCCCACTCCCCCGCTTAACTCATATCAATGCGTGAGAAGTCTTTGTGACTGGCTATAGGAAAGGGCTTATTAGCATTATATGGAACCTTCGAATCATTTACTTGGTGACAACGATTTCCTGTTTTAAATTGCACCTTAAAGGGAGTTAAGGTTGGGTTGTCCAGTCAGTATAAAATAAGGAGAGCAAAGAGAGAGAATAAAGTATTTGCTTCTGAACAGAATTTAAACATGAGAGTGAGGAAGCCAGGTACTAAAATAACAGTTTGAAAATCATGTCAGATCAATTAGTCGATCCACTGGACCGAGGTGTTCAGCGTTTTTTATTGGCTAAACTTTGCAATAAATTATTTATGAATGTGTGATTACAAATTAAAAATGCAATACGCGCTGAACAGCAACAGTTACAACAATAGACAAACAGTTAAGAGTCACTAGGAGATATTTCATATCATTATCACTATTCGGATTTTTGTCTTCTTATGACGACGCAAAAATTCTGTCAAACCTCGGGGTGGGGCTAAAATTTCAACAGAAGTTTGTAATTGTCCCTGAAAATTATTCGTTTCCTTTTTACGGCAGAACCTCTTCCTTAAACTTAGCGGTTCTGCAGTAATTAACAGTTGTTAGTTGTACAGTTCTACGTTGCCCGCCTGCGCTCCCAATAACGGTTTCTAATGGTCCGTCCCTGAGTTTTATTTACCACCCAACCTTTTTACAATACGTGGCCTACATGTCACATTTCGCAGTCATGGGAGATTTAAACTGAATACATTTTATTAATCCTCAGTCAAGTACTGCAAAGGCAGTCGTAGTGGTTTTTTATTCGATAGTGTTTCACATACCTTGTAATTCTTAACATAGTCAATCAAAAGGACATTTGTGCGACTGTACAAAAGAACATTTCATGAGTATTCTAAGACCTTTTCGATAATTACTACTAATAATACAGTGATAGTCATGATACATATATTTACGCGCGTGTTCCACGAACCTCTAACTCTTGACATCTTCAACCAAAAGCACATTTTTACGACCTACGCCTGTACTAAAGAACATTTTATGAGTCTTTTAAGAGCTTTTCGGTAATTACTGCTAACCATAAAACAGATAATCGGGTTGATAGCACAGTACGCGTTAGCCATATAAATGGTGACTGCATCGTATATCCAAAAACTACACGAGGAAAGCGTAGAACTGTCCTGATACTCTGTGATTAAAAAGTTGATAGAGAGAGGTAACCAGCAAAACACAAACACTGTTATGATAGCAATGGACATTTGAAGTACTTTTCTGTTTCTTCTTTTCCACTGTTGCTGATTGTTGGTCCACTGTTCACCTGGGTGTGCCTGTGTCTTGAGCTTGATAACAATGATTGGGTAAAGAATTACTAAGAAGAGCACAGGTATGTAAATAAACAGAATGTGTTTAGCCAGTAGGAAACTGGCATAGGACGATGACTCTCCAAATACTTTCTTCCATTTCGTAACACACCAGGTTCCCTCGGAGTTTTCAACGAACTCGCTGGCGAACAAGTGTGGCGAACTGACAGCTACGGCAACTATCCACGTGGCGAGAATGAAGAAGCGGCACAGCTTGGATCCGATGAGTGGGGAACGGAGTGGAAATACCACGGCTCCAAAGCGATCCACTGCTATCAGAATCAGATTCTGAATAGAAACGACAAAGGAAGCGCTAATAAAGAAAAAGAAAAGCTTACACAAGGCCTGGCCAAGCTGACCACCGATACGAAACGAGTTGGTGAGCAAGTTTGACAGGTTCCACGGTACCAAGAATATTGGATACAGCAAATCAGATGAGGCCATGTTTCCGATGAAATAATTTATCGGCTTTCTTAAGTTCGGCGTTTTATAAACGATCATAACAATGAGAGAATTTGCGGCCAGTGAAACTATAATGAAGAGACAGTAGGTAACGGTTCCTCCGATTTTCCACGCAGTGGAGTTTAACTGATCGAAGCAGCTCCAAGACTCGCTGGATCCGTTCGCCGTTGAATTCATGCTTAGCTTTGCTACGTATCTACGGAATTGTACACATGCAGTCAAGAAACTTTGAATTACTGCTCTGTATTTTGCGTCTGCTGTTTGAGTGGAAGAACTTTTATTGACAATTGTAAGCCCCCTGCGAAGCCACAGCACAGCTGTCCTCTGAGGCCTTCAATATGTGAGTTTGTTCGTAATTTTCCGGCATTATCCACCAGCCGACTTTTTGACAGAATTGAAACAGTGGGGTATTAAAATGTTACAAACCACCCAGAACACTTCATTTTGGTCATGTGGTTGTATTAAGAAATCGATTGAGACTGATTAAAGTATGTTTTAACACATTAAACTTAAAAAATGATATCTTTGGTAGAGTCTTGGTAGTGTATCATCAGCTACTCAAGTTTCACAGTTAACCACAGGAAGAAGAGGTGAAGCTGCCTTCAGGCCATTAAGCCCAGGTTTAACGGGTGAATATGAGAAAAAAATAAGTGCATTTTATCACGTGTGCATAAAACATTAAGTTTTTATAACATTTACTTGTGGGTCAACCTATTAATGGGAAAACCAAGTCTGTTGTCGGCAAAGAGAAACTGGCAGGTTCTTCTGACAAGGGCTTGTTACTCCTTTGACTGCTGGGTTTTAATTGTTACAAACTTCAGTACTTGTTGGCTACAGTTGGCTTTTTCGATAACGTTGTGGCACTTCATTTTTATATAATGGCCAGAAAACCCACCCGCTTTAATACCGTAAATGATCTCATAGACGCCCAGGGCGTTTAATAACTTTTGGGTTACAACAAGGGGCGTTTAATGACAGGAATCATTTAAAAGAAGAGAAAGGAGTTTATTGTCATTTATGTAACAACCTAATTTTCTAAACTAATATGCTTTCGGCGAAAATGTGAAGAGAGCTTATGAATAGCAGAATATTCTGTCTAGCTAGGCCGCCTAGATATCCTTATCCGCGCTCTTTCAAATCTCAACTGCTATGTCAGAATCCTAGTTCAGGGTCATTGTGTTGCTAGCCTAATTATCAAGCCTTCCTAAGGGGCTAGGGGAGAGGAGATTTTGGAAGGCGGAGAGGGGAGGGTGGAGAAGAGAAAGAAAGGCCGTTTCTCTCCTTCAGCTCTCATCCTTTTTCGCTTTCATCTTTCCCCTTTTTCCCCAGAAACGCCTGATACTCAGGCTATTGTGTTGCCATCTCCAATCAATTCGTACTTTTAAAAGGAACTTTGAAACACTGAACAAGATGCAATGCTCAAAGTCTTGTTAATCAAGCAGGTAACTGAATAATTTGAATGATTTGGGTCTTTTTTACTAATTTCTAGTAATTTTTGAAATGGTTTTCATGTGGACGTCTACTAGTCAAAGGATGTTTATTAGCGAGGGCGTCTAATGCAAACATAATATCATAGAGCGGCGCTTATTCAATGAGCCACGAGGCGTTTGTTTGAAAGGGGATGTCAGTTAGTCATTAGATCATTTATGGTAACTCATCAATGCTCAAGTAAGCCTTTTGTAATTTGCTAGGAGAAACTCATTAGCATTGAACCTTCGAGTTATTTATTTTGTCTGAAAGGAATTCTTTCTTAATTTCTCTTTTAAGCCCTTTAAAAGCTTTGGTTGTCGAGTCGAAATAACACGGGCGGGGGAGCAATGAGAGAGAACAAAGTATTGGCTCCTAAACAAAATTTAAACAATAACAGGGGGCAAGGTACTATCAAAAACTACAGTTTCAAAATTATGTCAGTTAGTCGATCTACAGAAGGTGTTGATCGAAAATAAACTGGCTAGACTTTTGCATAAATTAACTACGTATAGATCGGGTCAATTTCCTTTCATATGGAACGGTGCAGAATATTTACTCCTGAACTCTTTAAGCTTCCATATTTCAATGAAGTGATTATTTGGTAAGCGGCAAATTCAGGAAGGATAGATCTTTGCACAGAAGGCAATACGTGCCAGACAACAGAAGTTACAACAGTGAGATGTCAATCTTAACAGTATACACTTAAGAATAACTAGGAGATATATACCATCATTATTATTTTTTTTTATCTTTGTTTATTTAAAAACTATCAACTGCTTAACTTCGATCGACAACAAGGAAAGACTAACACACTAGATGAAAACGCCATAAATAAGGAGGATAGATAAGTAATTTCCTCAAAATTCAGATCACGACGAAAAGTATTTTTAGATCGATTCCCGAGGAAGCGCAAAGTATTCACATAAGAAATACACAATTTATCGGCGTTTTTTAAGCTGTTCATCACGAATTCATGGGAGGAGAAGGTTTTTTGATCACTATTTTAGACGCTGAAAATGCAGCGTAAATTTGAACAATTAATAAATGTATCTTTGTGATATTTTACACTGAATCCTGATAAAATATCCCTTAGTTAATTTATCATGTAGCGACCACTAAAGGTAACGTAAGGTTAACGCCGCACAAGCTAAAGGTCCAAACGGCCGGAGCTTATGCCGGTTTCCTCAGCATGAAGCATGTTTAGAAGTATTGCTTCTCCCCTCTGGACGGGATGCTAGTCCATCTCAGGGTTATCCCCCAGCTGTATGTCGCCGATGCCCATTTATACACCTGGATGAACAGAGAAAAAATGGATAGTGAAGTTCCTTGTCTAAGGAAACAACGCGAAGGGCGCGGCTTGAACCCCTGTGTTCGAGGAGTTAACCGCTCGGCCACAGACGCCTCCACTGAAGAACATCAAGAAAATTTTTAACATAAAGGAGAACGGAATAAGGCTAAGGGAAATCAATTCTAAAACTTCTGCTGCTTTCATTGTCATTGCTTAACCGATACCTATCAGGATTATTCATTTTTGTTATTAATAAGTAAAATTATTATTAGTATTATTATTGTTATTTATTCTTCACTAGTGTAGAGCTGTTACTGTTTTTAATGTGTTCAAAACTCCCATTTTAAAACGTGTGTTCTGGAAATTTGTGTCAAATAAATAGTAAAAATTCAACGCCAAGGAGTAGAGTAAGTATCTATTAATGTGGCTGTCTTAGGCCAAGAGGAAATTTTGTGCTTCTGAGGAACAGTGATCATGCTCCTGCGATCCAGAGCGCGGGAAAGTTTTTGATCTATGAATACTATCAATTTATCACCAGTTGTAGTTCTGTCTTTTCTCTGTAAACTGTTTGAACAGCTCTAAGACTGTGGAAAATTTAGTTGAAAATACGTGCTTAATGCCAATTTTACTAAACGGTTGTGTGAAATGTTATGTTTGGCAGTATGATCATAAAGTGCATAATTACGCGGGATGACGTAGTCAGCCAGCGTCTTAAATTCGGGAGCGCATTCCTTTCGTTTTCTTCGGAGTCAAAAATTGCCTTGTTTTTTTTTAACTTTCCCGCATCCCGCGACCGTCCCAAAAAATTGTGTGATTTTTATTGGCTACAACTTCAAATCACTTAGAAGTCAGGTTGGATTGCACAAGCAGAAAAAAGATACTGCGTAAGCAAAGAAGGGAAAAGCAAGCTCACAGCGTAGAGGAGGACAAAGACTCAAGGCTGTGCTCTAGATCTATCGGCGCAAGACTTGGCCTCGGGCGACTGAAAATATTGTCTAGGTGGCCCAGCCGGGCGACTTGCTGCTTTTAGTTTGTTGTTGATTTACAGTCAAAAAGCTAGAATGTCTGGAATTTATTACTTGCGAAGTCGTAGCTCGCTTGGTCTCTTCGCGGCCTAAACAAGAACGCCCCGCCCGCTAAGAAACTCTTGAGTTCGACTTATATGTAGGAATATGTAGCACGTCTATCAAAAAGCTTTATGAAAATGTTGTTAAATCGGGCAGAGGGCACGCGTTGAAGTTTTTAAAAAGGTCGTTTCCGTGAATTCACATGTAACATAATCCTTTACTATGGACCTCTATGAACGTGACAAGCTGCACAGTTTTGATGGTAACAGCTTTTTAAAATAACATTGAAATTTTTCTTCAAATTAGCATGGTTCATTAGTTAGTTTTTCAAAACAAATTGTTACTTTTGCTCTGACAGGCGTAAACTACGGTCGGCGACGCAAAACAATAGTATTTTGAAAAATCGCTGAATAAACAGGGGTGTCACTCTTTTATGTTAATTAAATATTTTTACTTTTTTTTTTTACTGTGTCTGCGAGGCTAAAACATAACTAAGAATATTATTCCAGTAAAATGCGATGTATAAAAAAGAAAAGAGATGCCAATTAATCGTGATTGTTTTAGAATCGGGTATAAATCTATAAAGTCCCGCATTGTCTTTCGTGTCGTGACGTGGCATTACGTATCAACTAAAAATAAATACGCAAAAGCTAACCAAATCCACAAAAGCTCATTTGTCCTGGTCATTTCACCGATAATATAGGAAGAAAATACTTCCGTTCTGCACTTAAACGAAGACTTTACAACAAGATGATCTATTCCAAAGGAGATAATAGCTTTGGGGCGGCCCGGGCGGGGTGGGGGGCGCACTTCCTTTATAAGAGGCTAATGGGGATGTGCGATAAGGTCGCATTTTCACGACTGGATTGACTAGAACGCGGTTGCATTTTCAATAGAGTTACTAGAATGGGGTCGCACATTTTCAGATTTTTTGGGTAAGAAAGTTGTTTATATTTACGGTTAGCAAACGTACCAGGATATTTGTACTGTAGGTGAAAAGTAACGTGTTCTTCATTCAATTTATTAAAAATGGGTCAATTCATTTTTTGATGACCTATTCAGTTAAAGGATCGATAAAGTACATACATAAATAGAAAGTGACTAAGTTGGGATCGCAAAAATTACATATTTGCCCAAAAGTGACTAATATGGGGTCT